AACTAAATGTAAACAACTTTCACCTGTCAAGTGAATAATTTCGGAGACACATGCTTTTTTGTGCAGAGCTAAAATCCAACTTCATTTTTAGCCAATCGCTCAGGATACAGGTAATAGCCAAACAACTTTGCAAATATGTCCCATTTGGAGACAACGGGAAGTAGAGTAAAAGCTGGAACACTGCCAAAAAGTTATTGTGGGACTACATGTATCGATATTTAGTACAGTTGTATGTGATGAACATGTATGTACGAGCACTCAAGAAAAGTAACGCCATTTCACAGTCGGTTATCACAAGAAGGCCAAACCTTTTTCAGCGGCATTGTTCTGATTCCGATTCGGCTGGTGTCCATCGCTGTCGTCTTCACCGACTTTTACCATCTCCTCCAACGGAAGGTCCACGTGTTTGCGTGTGACCTGCCAGGCGTACTTGGGCTTCCCGGGACCTGCCGAGCTGTGCTTGGTGTTTGACGATTCACACGTGGCAGAGGCATCGCTACGTGCTGTGCCGAGGGATGAAGTGTTGGGGAGGCCAGGTCGGGTTGGTTCTCCAAACAGATCGTCCTGTGTGCACCAAATAATGATTGGTCTAACACTCCCGCACCGTAGTTGTGGGGACATACACTCGGCATTTCACCTATTTTGTGGGGCCCGAAAACGTTGTGGGGACTCAGAAATGTCCCCACAACTCGGTTCAAATTTCCCTTACAAAAGAACTTGTCCCCTTAACGCCGTGAATGCCTACCCATATTCTCATTTATCATGTAAGAATAAAGAAGCTCTGAGTAGGATTTGGGATTGACTGCTTTAAACCTATTCGTCCATGAGCTCCATGTCTGTTTCAATGCAGAACCATGGTAGCCATATCCACTGATGTAATGTAATCAACGAGGGACTCTCTGAGAGGCTTGGTGGTGACAGAGGAACCTGTCCCTTTTGTCCGTTCTGGGCATGCGCGCATAGCTTTGACCACTCACTTCACTGTGGAAAAGACCGGGTTTGTCTGCCGTCATCAAGCGTCTCAAAGTCCCCCTTTGGACAATTTGTGAGGGTAAAAGTGAAGAAAAAGTTAACAATAGACCTATGAAATGATGATGTCATGCTACGTTTACATAGGCACTTTCCTATGGAGCCAGTGGAGGCCAATGGTTCACTGAGCACCGTGGGAAATCACAAACATGAACAAAGTGGGGTGTCATCAGAACCAAGGTCTTTTCACCAGATTAACCATAAATAAGAGCAACCGGCCTTGAAGAGGGAGACTGCGAATCTGGAAGCCTCCTACGTTTTGGCCACGTTCAGTTTACCGGTAGCAGGTCAAACTGGAGTTCTTGCACATTTTAAATATACAGGACACTTAAATTTGGGACTTCTACATGGCTTCATAAGACAGTCTGTGACTTACATGTAGTTTAGGAAAATGGACATCACAATGGTAAGACTTATTGCGTTTTCAGGTCAGTTTATCCTTGTATCGGGTGTTACAATAAAATGGGTAAAATTCAAATAAAGTAGTTGGTACTTGCATTTAATTCCATGGTATTTGAAATTTTCGCGTGAAAATTGATTGTCAACATTTTCAGGTTTCCCCTGCTTGCAGAAAGGCTGGCGAGCAACATCACAGAGCTTGGCCGTTCAAATACCTCTCCAGCCAATTACTTTGTTCAGTAACATATTTAAAAATGCTTCAACAAACCACTTTCTGTGCCACCGAGTCTGGCCTATCAGAGGCCCCCTTCTGTCCAGCCTTGGCATCCCCAGCTCCCTCTTCTTCGCCCCTATTGGTCCACAGCCTCCCAGAGGCTGCTGCCTCCAGGAAGGCGGCCATCTTGCTTTTGGTCTGGTGCTGCTCTTGCTCCAGCTCTCGGCTGTGTTGCTCCTGCCGCAGCCACAGGCACCAGACTGAGAGATATTTTCTCAAGAGGTTACGGTGATAGTGATCGGTGGCAATGTGTTTTTTTCTGAAGTAAAAATAATAAGTTTACAGAGCTGAATAAAACTGCAGCACTTATCATTGGCACTAGTATCATTGCCAATATGCAACAGAGGCTTTGCGTAGTCATTACGTGAATCACCCATTTGGAGCAGACGTGAGTTTGCCTATGACAAACTTGGGTCGGTACTCACTGGTTTTGGATTGCGCAGTTTGCATTCCAATGTTTTTTATCTGATCAAAAGTTAACCCTAACTGTCCAAAACCTGCCATACTCCAACAGCAGGTTTTGTGAGGTTTTGGCAGGTTTGGTACCGTACCTGAGGAACTTCTTGTTGAATTTTGTGAGACTTGGCATGAAAGGCCCAGGGAGATGGTGTTGGATTCTGTGTGAGTTGGGACACACACAGGTCATTGTGTGCAGTGTCTGGCTTGCTGTACCAATGGTTGGACTGTGCTTGATTTTCTCAGGTTTGGTACTGTTCAGTTCAAGTCATCCTATACTGCATAGACCCATCCATACCATATCACTCAAACTCCAACAGGCTCATTCTGTTAGAGTTTATCAGGTTTGGTACAGTAACCTGCATGTACAAGTACATAGACAAGTACATATGAACCTGTTAGGATTTTGTGAGGTTCAGCATGCTTTCTACTGCAGGAGCCTAGGGGGTTTGGGTTGATATTTTTGCTTAAACTCATGTATTCTTTTACAGTTATGGGTATACTGTCATTTTTCTCTGGTCAAGAGTGACTGTGACTGTGTGTATCCTGTCTGTGAAGTACAGGTACCGGACCAGAATTTCTGAGCCACTGTGTGAAATTTTTTTTCCCGTTTTTAGTCTGCAACATCTGTGATTCTACATCCAATGATTTATTTATCTTGTATAGATTACCAACGTCCGCTACATCCTGAAAACTGTGACCAAACCCAGCTGTCACAAAATCTACCCTATTAATAATACACACAAGTTTGACTGGGTTGTATTTGGCGAATCAAAATTATACAGGGCACAAAACTTCAACGCAGTCTCTGTGTGTGCACTGCACATCAATAACGAATGGGATGCAGGAGGACATAGAGACCGTCATTCAAGGGAACATGACCGCAACCTTATATGTACAGGTAGTCATGGCTACAGTCGTCACTTCAACATGAATGTGCATTGCAGACCACACATTTTTTAGTGTGTCTATTCATTTTCATGAGTGTTGATTATGTAAATGTACATGTACAAAGAGTACCCCTTCCAGGAGAGCCAATATGAACATGAAAATGGAGTGGCGTTTCGGTCCCTCTTTCCCAGGGTCTTTGTTCAGCTTATCTACAGTTTTCCCTCCCATTTCTGAAATTACAATTTTTTAAATGTATTCTCCCCCACTGTCCTCAGAAAGAATAAACTTGACTCAAGTCAGATTTACTTTTGCTTGTTTCGAATTGATGGGCTGATAATACACATAGACAGGTAGGCCCCATAGTCTGTACATGAACCATACAGTACACAGAACAAGGACCACTGTACATGTACATGTATGACTGACTTCACATCAGGATCCCGACTTGAGTCAAGTCTTGTGGGTCACTGAAACGTAACTGAAATGGCTATCCTGGCTGAAGAAAAACGTTCAATTAAAAAAAGCCCCTAACCCTCCTCAAGCATTATAACTTGGAGGCTGGTGATAATAATAATTAAAATAAAGTACACGTCAATGGACGGCCTCATCCATGAATGTAAAAGATCCTGATGGGCATCTTTTCCTGCAGCCGGGCTTTCAACGAGCACAGACCTGTCAATTTTCTGCAAATTTCCAGAATTTTCTGGTGGCTACTCTGAAAAGGAAGACACGTTCCAGGCTTTGGAATTTTCTCAAAATGTTTCGGGGGATTATGGGCAAACAACAAACTTGTAATGGTATTTGACGAAAAAGCTAAAAAAAAACGATGAATTTCCTTTCTTTTTTGAAGGGGGGAGTGCTTACTGAGGGCAAAGCAAGCTGAAACATGTGCCCCTCGTCTGTTGTACATTCCTGCAGCGCCACTTTCATACTTGCATGGAATCATTTGATCTAGCGGCAATCAGCCAGACATGTCCAAGGCTGAACTAGCAGGGGAACAAATATGAATTTTTTTGTCTAAAGAAATAAGATCCCCATCATTCAGAAACTAGATCAATTGCCTGACCATATCAAATCTCCGGTGAATATACACACGTGCAAGGTATCACTTTCACACAAACACACAACAACTCAATACAATCAGCAAAGTCGGCCCAAATCTTTTAATATTCCCAACCCATCTACTTTAGTGTTACACTGAAAAAAACAACAAAAAAAACCCCTTCATTTCTGATGTGCTGGTTGTGGCCGGCCTATTTCTGGACCTCCTTTCTGTCTTTTTTTTTTAAAACTCTAACCGTGCACATGTACAGGTATCATTGATCCAGGTTTTTCCACTTACAGCTGAAACGAACTGAATTCATGAGTGAATGAGTCTTGGATTGACCCTGACATCTGATATTATGGTTCAGTGCTCAAATTTCCGCACACAATTAGCTTTTTTTTTTAGATTTATGACTTAAAGGTAAAAGTTGAAAAGATTTTAATCGAGTTCCGTATCTTTTTCATCGTTAATTTTTCTCTTGGCTGCAAGAGTCAAATTTTTTTGGTTTAATTTTTGTCTACTTATTTTTATTTTAATGGTTGAACATTGTATTTGCATATCTAAATGTTTGAGTCTCCATACAGTATTCAATCCATATGACGCATGCTCATAAAATACTACACTAAAATTATCACAAAGATTTATGTACGATCAGATCTCATAATGAAGAACTTAAGAGAGACTACGTTTATGTACTGATAAAATATGATAATGAACAATACATATGTGCCAGCAACCAAAAACCCAAAACTGTACTTCTTAACAAAAAACATATGTGATATCCCTGTTTGTGCAATGGACCTGGTCCAGCCAAGTTTAAGTTTGTCTCCCTTTACTCAAATTTGGAGTAAGTCGATATGAGTATTTTTACAGACTTATCACAACCTCTGAGAGTACTCTCCTTTTCTGATCCCACTGGATGCGACTAGTCTTCTGTGCAGTCTGACCTGATCCTACTTTCCTCAATCCTCATCACTCTAGCTTTAATTTACCTGGCATGACTCAATTTACTGATGGATCCACTGTGTGGGAAAATACAGCCCTGACAGCCACCCAAAAAAAAAATAAAGAGGAAAGAAGGTGAGGACTAAATGAGAGTGGTGTATGTGGTGGTTTGATGGTGCTGTGCCAAGGCCTGGACGACTTGATAGCCCCTGTAATAGGCAGGTGATAAGCCCGCCACTCAACAAAATGTCAGGGTCGTGTGATGTTGTCATTAGAAATGCCCGCCTGAATGCAGAATCACACCTGCACAAAGGAAGTGGGAAATGCCAGACAGAGCAGGCCGCCAACCTGGGCTGCTGTACTGCCAAAGTACGGTATCAGGTTTTTTTTCTGCTTAAAACCACCAAAAATTGTTCATAAATTCTTCCCTGGCTCTTTGACCTCTTCCACTACACCAGGGACAAAAGGCCATATGCATAGTCAACAAGGCCATAGTCCAGCATCTGGTCTGCAAAGTGCAACTCCTTGCATGTACATGTACATGTACTGTACACGTAGGCCTAACACTGTCTGTACATGTACCTGCATATACTGTGCTGTTAACAATGTGCACTCATATTGTGACTGAGTAACAGACTCAATTTTAGCCGATCAAAGTGGTTCTGTCTTGGGAAGAGCTTCCCCCTCTGGGCACCACTCTGAAACACGGAATTATCAGTGATTGTACGTCAATGCTCCCACATGGGTAGCCAGGCAGCCCCACCAAGTTTAGCTTGTCTCCCAGTAGCCACCAAGCTTTCAAAAAATCTGGCCACCGACTTTAACATTTTGCATGATACATTTACATTCAGAATGTTTACATAATCTTGATGTAAAAATCTGTCTGCGTTGCCCAGAAATGCACTTGACCTGAACTAACCTTAAGCAGGTCCTGAACCCAGGTTCTAAGGCCACCCCCATTTTCGTAAACCAAGTTACAAATTTAGGACTTGGAGAACACTAGTTCGTAGCCAAGTGCCGGTACACGTAAAAATTATTTTCTCCTCCATGCCAGCTGTTTTTGTTTTCCATCTACCTTTGTTTTTATACATGTAAGTTTCTTTTTTTAATTTCCAAAGTATTTCAAAGTTTGGGTTTCGAACAATACTTAACATTATATGTAAACGTGAAACTCACGATTTAGGGAGTTACTGTACCGTACATGTAGCTCTTTAAGACTCAAAAGTATCAGCAAAAGCTGAAACTATCCATCAATCGTTTTGTGAAAACTTTCACACCTCCAGTTTTTATTTGTTTGGCTTTTAGGATTCAAAACCTGTTCAGGGACCGATTTCACGGCGCTGCTTACCATAGCAGAAACTGCTGTACATATGTTGAACGTATTTCGCAGCTTTGTGAGGAATTTTGGCTTGTGCACATGCATACATCCCGTAATTAAGGATTCTGCGCTGAGTACCCCAAAAAAACATGCCCTCTTTTGCTCCGCTCAGAGCAGGTGCAGTAGCCATTTAGTCTTTATGATTTTTATTTTTTGTCTACACAGTCTATCAAATTCTAGCCTAGGTAATGTACGAGAAGGAAACTTGGTTCACCCTGCTGATTGGTTGATTCAGAACATTACAGGGTCCACTAACACACATGTGCTCGTACTTCACATCACTTTGCCTGAAAACAAGATGACTGTTTTTGGAGAGCTGTCTTTCTGTACACAGGTCTGGAAAGCTTGTGGTAAAGATGCTGACTTGCATCTGTGATCATCAAATTATCCGTGGCAACTTATGAAATTTCCTAACTCCAGCTCCAGTCTAGGAATTGAGCCTTGCTTCGTTTAACCCTGAGGACTCCCTTCCATGCTGGAAGTTACAATATGCATGTCCTGTCCGACTCATTACATGTGCAGTTAGTGGGAAATTCCTTACACCATTTGTGAAGAGCCAAGAATGCTGTTAGATAATCAAGTTTATCCAATTTTCAGCATCTGACCTTTAAATGCCAATCTCTTTCATTATCCAGTCTTGCCTATTCCCTTTTTATTATCCTAAACCTCCAGCTCAAAACAACCAAAACAAAAAATCTGTGCTAAATGAAGGTATCGATTGGTTGTCAAACGGCGAGCCGAATAAGCAAAAAACCTAAATCATACTAAGACATGTCATTTGTTGGATCACAATGGCAGACGTACTTTAGCAAACGTCTGACTGACAAAAATAACTGTTCTTTCAAACGAAACAAAACCAGATGACACTAGCTGTCCAAAATCAATTCAGGACAGGGCTACTCTGTGACAGCCAGACAGGCCTCTGGCAAAGCCTCTTTGGGGAGGTGGTTGGACTTGAATAAGAGGAAGATCCCTCTCTAAATACTACTATTTCAATCTACCAGTACAGTAAATCAAATTACATTGGAGAAGACCTAGATAGGCCTCGATTCATTAGTATTGCCGCACCGGGCCTGTCTGGCTTGTGCATTTTGCCCCGGAGGCTGAGACTGAGTTTAGTATCAGCACAAATGTGCATTATTCATGTACTTATCAATTATTCATGAACGCTCGTGTGCATTACAGCCAGGTGAACAGAAGAGGGGAGAGGGATAAATGTGTTCAGTACTCATTATTATTCATGTCTGCATATTCTCATCCAATTATTCACATGCACTGTCTACCTCACCTGCACTTACATGTATGACTATCAGGGGCTAGGGACAGAACTTAAGGAATGCAAAATGTACGAATTCCCAAAGAGCTGGAGCTACAGGCATCATCCACAATTTTTATATTCATAATTAGCAGCAAGCCCTCATCAATAATTCATGAGTTCCAAGTAAGAGAACCTAGCGATTACCAAGAGCACTGTGAGTTTATGAACTGCCCCATTCTGGGTTGCTCCATACTGAGCAACATAAGTTAATCCAAGGACATTCCATTCAAGCATATAGGAACATCCTTGTTCTGTGATCCAAATAAACACCAGCAGGCATTTCTTCAGCATAGTGATGTACAGGTGCAGGTAAGCCATGCAAATCAGCTGACCAAAACAGCGGTTATCAGCCTCCAGAAAATACTTGAGATAAGGTACTGCTGCAAACTACTCTCTAGCTACAGTGACCTCAAACACAACTCAAAAAGTCAGAGGGCCTGATGCAGAATCTTTCTCAACATGCTTTAAAAAAAAGGCAAGAACTGAAGAAAGACCAAGAAAGATTCTGCTAGTAGCAAAATATCCGGCCCTCCAACCTTTTCTATTATTAGCCTCAACGGGTTCAGTTCACTATGCCATTCAAAACTGCCACAAATCAACAACAGTAAAAGCAACACTAGGGCTGTGAGTATCCAATCGATTTTAAAATATTCAAATATTATTTTTCCAATATGACTATTTGAATGCAAAATTTATGAAAAACGTGAATTTTCTTTGTTTTAAATGAGGAAAATTGCACTATGGAGGCTTGTTTCAAGCAGATACAAATGAAAAGTGACAGAAATTTTACAGTTCAGAAAGTAAATTATTAAAAAATTAAAAGGAATAGAATTTTTCAATAGGGCAAGAAGTATTGTTCATCTCTTAAATCTTGCTAAAATGTGGCCGGAGATACTCCTAGATGTGACAAGCTATTATAGTGATTATAATGTACAATTGTGTGTGTTATTACGACTGATTTTCCTCTGGTTTGTTCATCAACAATCAACCGGTCGGTACGACTGAATAGTTGGATATTCGATCGAATTGAAGGTTGAATATTCTTATAGTGAATTATTCGAATTGACTCGGCCCTACCTAATCAACAGCAGTTGCCACACACAGTATTTCTGCACAGTACAATGTGCACGTCCACATGCTGCACATGTCAACAGAGTTATACCAGTGCTGGAATTTTATCTTCTTTCACAAAGGAAAACCTATTATGCAATAGATATTGGTATCCAACAGCTCAGTGAATGCTTCTCTGTCCATCTGACAAGGACATTCCACTTTAATGGAAATAAGGGGAACTGTGAGCATAATCTCTGTACTGACCACTCAAGGTCAATGACCTTCCTACAAGGAATGGAGAATAAACTGGAGGAATTTGATAAACAAACATGTGGCCTACCCCCCACACTAAAATACCTGTGACATGCATGTGTGGTACATACATGTACATGATGTAAATTAACCCTTCATGTGCATTGCCACACTGCATACCTTGACATGAAAATAGAGAAATTCTTTTATTGTAGGCATGTCTAAGTTTGACGTTGGCAAGCAACAACCTCACATGGTATAAACTATGTACCATCACCCACTAATTACTGGCATGCACATGGCACCACACTGACATGTGCACAGAACTTCATGCAAATTACACATACATGTATATACTGGTACATGTAACTCGTGCAGACATTTGCATGACATGGGGACTGGGCAAGACAGTAAGGTGGCCTCCAGACATGCCAGAAGAGTGATACTTGCGTCATTGTTGGACACTGCTTTCATGCCACTGTCTCATCTACATGTACATGTATATGTAGCCACTGTACCGGTACCTGTCCGCCCGTCCTGATTACCCGCAATTCCTCCTCATACAAAAAGTTACCAACCTCAATTTATTTCACAAATCTTTTTCACAGGATAATGAATCTTCACATGTCCATCCAAAGTCCTTTACATTCCCAGTATACTGAGCACAGTGGAGATACCGTAGCACCAAGGGATTTGTAGCACTACATTTGTTCCTTACGAAGGACAGGCAGGTTGTTTAATGAAACCCTGATTTATCCACAGATCAACATATGATGAGAGAGAGCTTTGTTCAGAATAATCCTACTACAAAGAGTTCATACAGGTATGTCTAAACCGTACGTTGACAAGCAAACAGCTTGGTACAGTTCACAGACCACAACAAATGCAGTTGAACATCCAGGTTTGTCATAAGTTGGCAACTTTCAGGTCTGCAAAAATATGTTACTGGGGGAGAGGAATAGAAAAATCACTTCAGATTGTACACACAAGTGACGGATGTCATTGTCAATCAATACTGTACATGTATGTATTTTCCAGAGACATTTACCCGCTGGTACATATATGTATGTTTTCAAAACTGCACTGGCTTAATGTACATGTACTTAGTCTTCTCAATGATAATTACAATGTGAGCATGGGCAAGCCCGGCCCACCTGCATGTGAATCATCAATTCTCTCAGTACCTCTGGTTCAAGTCCATGCCATTCTGCAGACACATGTGACAAGACAAGCTGTCACAGTCTAGCCGAAGCTGCATTTACATGCACTAGTACCTCAACACTGTCTATAGATCTACCACGCAAACTGTCTGGTTCATTAAAGCTGGGCAGGCAACAGCTGTAAGAGCAGAACCGACAGGGTGGACTTGATCTCAAGTTTACCACAGCTGCAGTTTACACACACATCCACAGGCGGCCTACAAGCAACTGGAGCTGTAGGATCAAATTCAGGTCAGAGTTGATCTTGTCAGTTGATTTGGCCCACATGTTGCCGGTCCCAAAGGGAGTGTCAAATGGGTTTCTCCCCCCCATCCCCTCTGCAGGTGTAGCTTCCCCCTGACTACAAAAACACATTCCCTGTGCAATTCACCTGACAGGTGAAGGATGGCAACTCAAGTTGAAATAAAGGCCGTGATATGGAATCGCAACTTAACATCTTGGGGGGAGGGGAGATGGTAGTTTCCTCAGGCCTGTTATTACGTTTTAACTTGTACCTCCCACTTTTTCCACTGACTAGTTGGAGTAGGCTAAACTGTGTCAGCCAACGGGCGCACATCCAACTTTGGTTGGACAGAAACCCTTTAAAAAAAAAAAGAGCATGAGTGAGCAATACGGTACCTGTGAGTATCACTAAATTATACCCGTGGTAAATAAGAAAAGATACCAAAATAAGAGGAAAGAAATGATAGACGGGACAAACTGAGGAGAGGAAAGACCAAAAATTAGAGCATTGTGTACT